CTAGAATATGGACAGATACACTGCCAATATTTTTGTCTTTTGTGCATGTGGAGAGTAGTGCAGTGAGACCCATAGGGCCTCGCTGCACTACTCTATAGACTCTTGAAATATTTTGAGAGTTCGACTAGCATTGTCAGAGAGGCTAGACTCTATCCGCCGTTGCTGCACTTACTGAAGAACCTGTTACACTAGATGCACTCTCAAAACCTGGGGCGTCGTCCGACTCGACAGGAGACCTGTACCACTAAGGTACGGGACAACGCCAGGCTGGTCTGGCCACGGGGACAGGAGGTCCACTCTCAAAAAAACGAGCCGGTCGGAGGGCACCTCACGAGCACACGTTTGGAGAGTTCAAGTGTGCCCTCTGACAGCTCTCGATCGGGTTTCGAGAGTAAGTGCAGCGAGGACGCACTCTCGAAACTTTCCAGAGTCTAGAGAAGTGCAGCAAGGCCCATAATGACGGTTCTTTGCCATCCTGTCGAGATTGGACAAGTATTTGAATTGGTTGGGCTTGAAAAGTAAGATAAAAAATAATGCACCTCACACTACCTACCTACCACTACTACTAATTATAAATTATAGTTACACGGGGAACAACCGTAGCAGCCAGTACAAGCCAGAATCGTGCCTTAACTACCCGCCCCAAGCAATTGCTTGGAAAGACCCCAAGCAATTCAGATATAAGTTGTTTGATTTCATCTTTTTCTTCTTTTTTTTCTTTTTTTTGACGCCGGCCTTGCCTCTTTTTTTTTTTTTTTTTTTTTTTGGGAACTATATCCCATTGGTTCTTCAAGTAATTTCCTTTTTTTTTCCTGAGAAAGGGCGAGAGGGGAGAGACCTGGCATCACACCAATGGGCCTACCTTCTTCCCCCTAATACAAAGAACGGGGATTATAGCTGTATGTAGACTGAAAGATGCGACAAATACAGCTATACCGACTGTTCGTTGTATTGGGGGAAAGAAGGTAACTCAGTTGGTACACCTAAGAACTGTTGAAATACAGATGTGAGTTTTTTTTTTTTTTTCCTGTGAGTTGGAATGCTAATAGAGTGGGTTGAGTGATTTTATTATAATAATAATTATTATTAGGGGTAATTTGCAAAATACCCCCCGAAGTTGAGATATATGCCAAAATGCCCCTAAAGGATGTGGGTAGCACTGAATGCCCCTCTGACGAAAACGTTTTCTGTGAAGTACCCCTGGTGTCGGTTGGGCCCCCATCTTTGTAATATACCTCTACGGGGTACAGTCCAACTTTGCAAAATGCCCCAGTACTTGCCAACTTCTCCTTGGTGCTATTGCAAAAGGCCAGGGCCCTAAGGGGAAGGTCCAGATTGCAAAAGTTGCTCACCCACCTGACAGGGGCACAACACAAACATTTAGGCCCAAAAGGGCATTGCGCTCTACCCACATCTTTCAGGGGCATTTTGGCATTTATCTCAATATACGAGGGTATTTTGCACATTATAGATTATCACTATTATCAGGGTTACCTGACCGAACCTTCGGGGGCCCCCGGGCTGGCCCCCGAACGTTCGGGCGTTCCGGGTCCCGTTCGGGGCCCAAACACCTCCAGGTTCCGCCAAAAAACTTTTCGGGGCCTAAAAATAATTTTTTTTTTTTGAAGTTTTTTTTGTGAGTTCTCTATGATGTAAACTACAGGCCTAATAATTTAAAGATCATTCTGCTGAGCTAAAAAAACATCAACAATCGTCAAAGATGGGGGTGTCAAAACGTGCTCGCCCACTCACTATTTTTTTTTTTTTTCACTTTTAACTTTTTGTTTTCACTTTATTTCGGGGCCTAAAAACTTTTATTATTTTTTGAAAAAACTTAATGAGCTATTAATTATGTAAACTGCATATCTGTTAATTTTCAGGGCATTTGTCAATGCTAAAAAATAATTAAAAATCGGCAAAGATGGCGGTGTCGAAAAGGTGCTGGCACACTTATTCATTTGAATTCTCTTTTTATTTTTTCTTATTTTTATCATAGTGTTTATTTTCTGTATTTGATTTTTAATTCGAATTTGGCAAAGAATTTGGATGTAGTGCCCAGGCAAATGTTGTTTAGTTTATTTTTCTCCATACCATTGTTTTTTTTCGGAATTTTTTGAAAACGTTTTTGTTTTTGTTTTTTTTTGTTTTTTTTTGGTCCACGTTCGGCCCGAACGGCCGAACGCCTTCCGAAGGGTTCCTGTATGTTCGGGCGTTCAGGTTCGCGCGTTTGGCCCGTCCCGAACGCCGGTAACCCTGATTATTATTATATTATTTTTTATTTATTTATTTTTCTTACAGTAAGGTATTTTTTTCTTCTGTTTTTTTTATTATTATTATTTTTTTAACACTAAAAACAGTACTATTCCATTTTTGTCCGAAACCGCGTCCCGCATCCCTTACAGTGGCCATTCAGGCTTGGCAAGGCACTCCCGGCCAAGCCCATCCCGACCACAGCCAAAAAGGCCGGTCTTGAATGGTTCAACAATCAAAGTAAACCAAATCTAACAACAAAGGGGCTCATTAGACACTCCTCGGGTGCATAAATCCCCCGAGGAAAATTTCATTCCACCTGTCCTCGGGGATGAAAACGAAAAAAAAAAGTGAAAACACTTCCTTGGGGAATCCTCGGGGCGTCCTAGGGCTACAGCCATTTGGTGGCATTCCCCAAGGGACCTCCCGAGGTCCCTTGGAGGTCAAGGATCCGCGATAATCGAAGCAGCGAGGGCACCCGTCGTCGGCAAGAATTTTTTGTCTGCTGGTCCACTGGAGTTCCTACCAGGCTGCGCACAGACATCTTGGGTCTGCAACGTTCGGCTTCCAGGAACCTAATGCCAACGGTAACCGTTGGTGGCCGCCCGGCCCCCGCGACGTCATCGACCAGTGTTCTCCTTCGCAGTGCGTGCCGCCAAACGAGAAGGGTTTGAATGGTTGGCAAATTTGAATACCTCAGCTGACCCGCCTTGCGGCGATTGCCCATTGTATTCAGTGACGAAAAATGTTACAAGGCGTTTGTCACATGCTGCGGTGTGTCGTTTGCAGCCCTCTTCGTCACCCTTAACTGGAGGTGTACCTTCCTCGTCTAGTTACTGCTCTTCCCCAAATGCCTTTCATGGCCAACGTCTTTCGAAGGCTACCGCTGCTGCTCCTGGTCATCCTTTTGGTTGTCCTTCTCGTCTTCTTGCACGTCTGCATCCTTGGCAGGGTGCCTGGACGTACAAGTAACAGGCAATCTACGAAGAAGGACGTCAGCATGGACGGGCGGCTGGCGAAGAGCAGGTCTTCAGTGAACCACTCCAGAAGCCACTTTGCAGGCCATGGCCCGGCTCGCAGTGCAAGGGCGTACGACCCGTTAGATTGCGTGTGTCGTATGCGGTCCTCTACCGTCTGCTCCCTTCATTGTCGCCGTTCGGTGGACCTTCACCGTCATCGTAGAATTCTGACGTTGTCGTACGCATTGTTGATGGCCGACCTCTATTGATGGTTGCCACTGCTGCTCCTAGTCACAATTTTGTTTGTCACGGTGCTCCTGTTCCACGTGTGTTTCTTCTATTGTTGATGGCCAACCTCTATCGAAGGCGTCCAACAGAGAAGACGAGGGATCGACACCGACTGCAGTCGACATCGACATTGGCAGCAAATCCCACGGGCATTCATCCACACTGGATGCAGTCGCCATCACCCGAAAGACACGTGGCGACATACGCAGCTCCTCCCAGAAGTACTCCTCCTTCGCATCATCACACTGCCTGAGATCCTCGCACGCCCCACCGTCCTCCTTTTCATCCACCACCTTGGCGTCGTTCGCGGAAGAACACTGCAACCCATGGCGCAGCAAACTTGAACTGCAGCGTTGGTGATGGCCACGATATCCAGCCCTTCGATGGGGACTTGATGAAGCATCTTCCTCCTCCGTGCACGGAGCTGCGTTCTCATTCTGCCCAACAAAGTTTTCACGTCGGACGTGGTCCCATCATCTTCTCTTTGCTCACCCTTCGTGTTCCCTGTGGCCGCCTCGGACACAGGGACGGCATCTTATCGGGAGTTCACCTCCATGCTCTCGGCCGTCCTCAAATTGGCGGTGCGGTCGACCTTCCAGTCGATTGATCCGCGCAAGGGGCTCGTGCGCAAGTCGTTAAACTTGCCGCTGTATTCCAACTGCTGAGCGGCTCGCAAGGCAATGAACAATTGTTTCGCCTTTGCTTTGATGGAGGTTTCGCTCTCCCTGTGTTCTCTCTCTGCACGCGGTATAAAATTGCCTGCGCCGTCATTTTCAGCCAGATGTCCTTCGCCATGCTGCCAACCGTCCTCCAACCGGTCACATACTTCAGTTCAGGGCCTGGGCCCGTTACAGTTGGGCACGGCCTGAGTCTCCGGACTTGGGCTGTTTGCTGCATCTGTGCAGGGCTCCCAGGCAGGTGCGTCGGCAGTGCTGCTTTTGCAAAGGCCGGTGGCCTGCTTCCCAATGTATCTCGGCCTTGCTTTGTGTGTATGTGCCCAGGCGCAACTGTCCTGCGCAGCTTTGTGAGGCTCAGGCGTGTATCCAACCAACTGGCTTGTTCCTCACAGTAGGGGTATATTGCAAAGATGGAGGTCCAACCAACGCCGGGGGTATTTCACAAAATATTATTTTTGTCGAGGGTCATTCCGCTCTAACCACATCTTTTAGGGGCATTTTGGCATATATCTCCACTTATGGGGGTATTTAGCAAATTACCCCTATCAATTTTTATTTTAAATTTTGTAAAGAACTTTTTTTTTTTTTGAAGGGTCGGCAAGCGTGCCAACCCTATTGGAGGGTTCAGAAATTCTGCCAGCCATATGTCTTGATGTCCATACAGTGCACGGCCTAAACCATGCATGGCATATATAGCCAACTGGCCCTTTTTATCTATTGTTATGAATGCAAGTGACCTTCTTTAAGAAAAAAAAGAATCTGGGGGCATTAGAGCAGGGTCCTTGCGGAGAATCGGTAGGAGCTCGCGTTAGCGCTAGCAGCCTGCGCCAGCCAGCTGACGTGGCTCGGTTGTACCTGGCCCAACCAGCACTCGGGGAGCTTTCTCTTCCCATCTGCAGGGCCTGTCGACGCGCCCGACACGTGGCAGTCCCGTCGTATGTGACGTGGCTGTTTCGTTGCTGGAGGACGACACGTGTGCAGGGGAAGTGCCGGCGGATTAAGTGATTTTCATTTTTCGCGACGCGATGGATTTGGCGGGGACTCTTCAACAAGATGCGGCAGACTGGGTTGACGTCTTGGGGGCGGCTCATCAGCAGCTGCAGGCGACGGTGGGTAAGCTGACTCAGCGCTCGCAGGAGCAGGCAGCGTTGGAAGGGGGTGGGCTCTCCTTGTCTGCATGGGTCGCTTCCCGTTCACAAACTTTGTTGGACATCATTTGGGAGATACAGGAGTTGGAGGAGATGCTAGTTTCTGGGCTTCATTCTTCTCTGGATTGGCGCCAGGTGGAGGCCGAGCTGGCAGTTTGCAAGGCCCTTTATCGCCAAGGGCGTGACGTGTGTAATCTCTTGGAGGATCGGTCTTGTGAGATGGACGCAGGGCGGCCGCTCATGCTGGATGGTGCTTCGCCTTTAACGTTTGCGGCAGCTGATCGGACTGTGCTGGCGGCTTGTACCTCCTCTCCCATCACGAATGCCACCGACATGTTCAGCTTTAACTATCGGTCCAATAACAACGACTTCATCGATAATCACTACTGCTAAATCACGAACGTCAGCAGCATTTCCACCAACTACACTTGCTATAACTATCACCACTTGACTTCCACCACTTCTCACACCGGCATCGACTCACCAGCGGAGGGCGCGGAGGCTGCCAGGCTCGCATAGGCGACACCCGTCTTTGTAGGGATGTTGCTTGGTTGGCCGCGTACGGGGATTGGTTGGTTGATTGGGGTGGGGCTGATTAGGGTTCACGGGTCGTTTGGGTGGCAGTTTTCTGCGTTCTGTTTGCTGCTTCTTTTATTTTAATTTTTTTACGTATGTGCATTGTTGATTGTAGGTGACTTGCGTTGCAATGCCCAGCGGGCTTACTCCTACTGCTTTGGACATGCCATTTGTTTGATTACTGAGACCTGACACCTGGCCGGGCCTCCTCATGCTATCTGTTTCCATTTGTGTTTCTTGATATGTGCTTCTCGATATAGTCAGCTCTATGCGTCGTAGATAGTAGGTTAATGCATCTACAACGGCCCCGGGGCCTACTTATGTGCTTTCTTCATGTTTCTGATTTGAGATAGTAGGATATAATTGCAGCAGGTTAATCCTCCTCTGGTATGGGTGAGTAATCAATGCCTCTGCATCTACGATGGCCACGTGGCCCGATTGGACTGAGATTTAGTTTGTTTTGAATGGTTCTGGAGACTAGATGACGAGGGACGCCGGACCCATTTTTCCAGTATAGACATTCATTGCGATACACCTGGACGCTGGACTTGAGTTTCAGCAAGATACATTTTCTTCATTGTACAGGGAC